TGCAGGCCGCCGTCCAGCTCGGGGTGCGGCTGCGCCGACAGCAGGCTGCGCACCGACTCGGCGCTGCGGAACTGCATGGACGAGTTGAGGGTGCCCATGTTGCTCAGCTTCTCCGACACGTTCATCCCGGAGTCTTTGCTGAGGTCAGGCATGGAAAACCGGGACAGATGCTCCTGGCGCTTGGCCCCGCCTTCAGCCGAGAAGCCTGGGGAGAGAGGAGGGGCGGGGTCAGCAGGGTGCGCAGCAGGCCGGCCGCCCAGAGGTAAGGACTCGGAGCCCGCCATGGATTGTATCCACAGCTTCCTGTTCAGAATTTCACCCCACAATGCGCTTCGGTTACCTCCTTGATTCTGATGCTGCACCGAAGCTCTGAAGGACTGATAGTTCACACAAACATTAAACAGTAGAGACTGGGTCACGCCCAACTCCGCCCGGCAGCACACAGCCTGGCGCTTGGTTCTAAGATTCAGTTCACGTGTCAGCCCGCAGCAGCTCCCTGCTCCTCCTTTTGTCCCCACTGGCAGGCAGGCCTCTGTCTCGAAGGTCTTGGACCTGAGTGACTCCCTACGTGGGGATAAAGGGGTGTTTAATCCCCCAGCCTGTCCAGTGAAGCCTCCTCTGGGACCTCCTTGCATCCCCTGGAGAGGCAGCAACATCCTGATGACTGAGAACAGGTGCCAGGCAGTGGGCCTGCATTTGAAGTGCTGTCAGTGACCTCCTGGCTGCCCCAGCTGAGGCATGCTGCAGGCAGTGCAAAACACTGGTTGTGGTGATCTGCACTTTACTTAAAGCCATGGGGATGGGAAAGAACGAGCGGGGAAAGCATCAGCACCCTGCCCCTCTGAAAGGACCAGTACCTTTGCCATGGCTGCCAGCTGGAAGGCAACTCTCATCCCTGCCCCGGATCTCGCCTCCCACCAGGCCACTTCCTCCACCCTTGGGACCTCCAGCAATGTCTTGAGAACTTTGAAAAGTACTTGGCAGTATCTACTAAAGCCAAACAGACCTGCATTTGTGCATGTATGGATCATGAATAAAGACACTATGAATGTCCCGTCCTTTCTCTATGGGAACATGCCCACGTTCCTTTAGTACACAACCCAGAACGGAGGTCGGTGGCTATGTGGCCACTCTTGGCTATGTGCTGACAGAAGCCAGTATACAGCTCCCCAAAAGGTACAGGGATGTTCAGAGAAGCTCTCTCCTCTTCTAATATCCTGGAACTGGGCACAGCTGAAATGCTGACTAACAGGAAAACAAATTGTGGGATTTTCTGCTATTGCTGGTTATAAGGAACCAGGGCTTCTTGGGAAGTGGATTTAGGCTAGTGGAAAGGAAAGTGAGAGATGCACCTGCAGCATCTTGTAACAACCAAAAGGAAGGAAAAGATGGGGGAAGAACAGAGGGCCTACTTGGAAGGGGTTCCCTCCCAGTGGCCGAATCTGAACACTTTCCACATTAAAATATTTACGGACAGCCAAGATTTATAAACTATTGAAACAAATGGGAGTTCATGATTCTAAACTGGTAACAGGTAAATCCACTGGTATATCAGTAATGGGGAAAAGAGAAGACTCATGTACAGAAGCCTGCCAGGGCCAAAAAGTGTGCTAAACTTAGGGGTAAAAACTAATAGAGTATGGTCTTAAAATGCCTCCCTACATATTGCTCATATTATAAGGGAAAAATTAGTAACTCTATGATAGCAAAATCAGACCACACCTTTTCTTGAAATCAAACCTTTTTCTGACGAGATGCAACTAGACATTTTGGCTTCCAAGTGGGACGTCCCAAGAACATACCAGCTCATGTTCCAGTCAAGAATGCATACTCGGGGTGTGTTCAGAGATAAACAGGAGACCAACCCAAAAAGGGGGGATATGGGGGGCAGTGATGACTATATTCCTTATTTTAAAAACATCAAAACAAAAAACTCAGTATCATAAAAGATAAAAACAAAAGAGGCTGAGGGAATGTTCTAGACCAGTGCTGGTAAGCTGATGGCGCCTGTGCCACAGCGGGCTGCTTGTTGCCATTGCAAGCTCTAGGTTGGCCGTCTCTGCTCTTGACTGAAAGGTACTCTTGAATGTCCTTCAAAGCCCTGTGTTAAGGACTTGGTCCCAGCTCGGAAGTGGTAGAAACTAATGAGGATTAAGTCATGGGGCAGGGCCCCTCGGAAGGTACATCAGGACCCAGGCCTTCCCCTTCCTCACTCCTGTCCCCAAGACCCCTCGAGGAGTCTGCCCTGCCACGCACACTGCAAAGACGATGAGGTCACAGGACCAGGGACTGAATCCTCTGAAAGTGACTCAAGACAGACTTCTCCCCTTACAATCTGGTTGTTTAGGATGTTTTGTTACAGAAACAAAAAGCTAAGAGAGGCCCCAGGAACACAGCAAACTATTCTACCTACCCTCAGTGAACTCACTCTGCAGGAAAAGCAAATGGTGAAGGAAATTTCTGGTCAGTTAAAAAACAAATGGAACATGGGCAAGAGAGAGAAGTATACCAACTCTCCTGTGGTCAATGAGTAATTGTGATGAGGGTGGAGAACGCCAAGATGGGCCTGACTTGCTCATGCTCTCCAGTGGTTCAGAATGTGTGTGTGTGTGTGTGTGTGTGTGTGCATGTGATCAGGGGAGCAAAACGTTAGCAACAGGTGCACCTAGGCAACGATGTTGCAGGGGGGTGTGTGCTCTGTTTTTGCAATGTTTAACTGGTTTGAAGTGATTGTTTAACAGTCATAGCATTTTCATATAACACGATGGCTTCCACTTCTGGATAAAATGTGGAAATATCTGGAGACAGCTTTGGTCATCCCGACTGGGAAGGTGTGGCCTGTCCTGTGGACAGAGCCAGGGCTTTTCCTGAACAGCCTGTGACACACAGAAGCCCTCCCCCTAGGAATTATCCAGCTGACAACACGTAAACCGTGCCAGACAAGAAACCCTGAAGACAATGGAACACTGCACCGTGACGAGTAATGAAGGAGTAATAGTATCTATCCACACGTATGAAGTCTACAGAAAGTGCAGAGGGACACCTGAAGAGTATGTGCTGAATCTTCCACTTATGTGACATTTGAGAACAAGCTAAAGCTGCTGATGGTGACCACAGTCGGGCAACAGCTCAAGAGAAGTTTCCAGGACACGAATGGGTCTGTGGCTAGAACTGGATGGAGGTTACAAAAGGACAGAGGGTATCATTTTAATACTTGTTTGCTTCCCTTCATATAAGTTCCATTTCAATAAAAAGTACAAAACTAAAGCAGTATTAGTGAAAGAGTCCAATTTTAACCCTGATCTGCCCTACAGGGAATCTACAGGTACCCACACAGGACAGGTTCCAAGACTCCTTAGGAACCAAGGTCCCCAGGTGCTCGGTCCCTTATATAAATAAAAGGACATCTTATTTCCACACAGCCACATACAGCCTCCCCTGTGCTTTAGATCATCCTGAGATTACTTACGATACTTACTAGGATATAAATGCAACACAGTGGTTGTCACAGTACTGTGTAGGGAATCACAACATGGAAAAAGACTGTGTGTTTTATGCAGGTGCAACCAGCACAGGCCTAACTACATTTTCAGTGTAGGGCTGGAGGAATCTGCAGAGGTGGAACCTGTACGGGGGGCCATCTGTATTCTGCCAAATCCCGTACTTGATGGTAATTTAAAAAATTATTTCATTACTGGGATAACTGTCAGAGCATGAGGCGCTGGGTCCTCCTGCTTCTGCTTTCCTTGATGTTTACCTGTGACACAAATCATAAAAGCTGAGTTAGCGCCACCAAATCACAGCCAGAGCCTCCGCAGAAGGGGAGGAGGCGGAGTAGTGAATTCCGCCAAGGAAGGACAGGAACCTGGAAGCCAAAGTGGTCCAGGTGAGCACTGCCATCCTTGAGGCTTCCTAGCCAAGCTCCCAGGTGGAATCAGGGCCAGCTTCCACTGCCTGGCACAACCCTGCCTGAAATGCTCCCAGGGACGTCCTCACTGTGAACAAATTCCTGCGTCCGTGTGGAGGCATGGCTTCCACTCCACAGGTGTGCCTCTGCCTGCCAGACACCTGCATACCCCTGGAGAAGCAAGGCGCTAAGGCGGGCTCCTTGCTTTAGCCCAGGTCTACTCTGTTTTGCCTGCAGTAAGCCACTCTCTCGGGAGGGAGAGCAGATGCCATCTGCTCTGCAGAGCAGGAATGTCTCTTCTGATTCACAAACTCCCATTACCCTCGAGGGTCTTCTTGCATGCGGGGACATGAACAGAAAGGTGCACGCTGCCCAAAGATGAGCAGTAAGTGTGTTCTTGTCTTCAAAAAGGGTGGTTCTGTGGTCAATTTCATTATTGGCAAAATCCAGCATCTTCATAATCACCCAGGGGACCTGACTCGCTCCTCTCTTCCTCCTTTGTCACCACCATCACTGCTCTCTCCACCCTGCCTTGGCTGCTAACCATCCTGCTCCTACACACTGACAGCTGACTCCTCCCTCCCCTCTGCATGGCATGGAGAGGCCACCGTCCCAGTGGCACCTGCCCTGGCCATCCTTTCCAAGGCAGCAGAGTTATGTATCCCTGACCAGCCAACCTCTCCTGCACTTGACTTTCTCTCAAGCTACCCACCCTGACCTATTTGTTTAAATTTGTGACTAAGTTTGCAGCTGAATAGATGCGTGCATGTGTGTGTGTGTGTGTGTGTGTGTGTGTGTGTGTGTGTGAAGGGATTTAGTCCCATGTTCTCTGCACTCCCACAGAACTAGCAGCACCCAGAATGCCATTGATGCTCAGTCATGTTTGTAGGATAAAGGCAGACAAACCCTCGTGCTGCCCACAGCTTGGAGAAAGCCACCATCCCCTGACCTAGAGTGAGTCAAGGCTGTAACTCAGATGGGCAGAGTTCCAAACACCAGCACAAAATGCCAGGATTGCACTGCCACTCACTGTCCCTGGTAGGTCACTGGGAAGCCCACAGCCCGGGCTTCTATACTGTTGAGAGTGGAAGGTGCTGTGGTTTGCACATAGCTCTCTCAACTGCAAAATCGTCTTCCCCTGATGAGCCACAGCTCTGGAGATACAAACTCGAGGCTCGAAGTCTGAGATGGCCCCATTTGGTCACAGCTCACGTCCCAACTCCCGAAACACTTCCTCACTGACGCCAGATGGAAATGCACAGCCACCTCCTGGCTGGTGACCTGGGCAGGTTTTAAAC